TGGGGTGATTCGTTCCCGTAGATTAGCTGGTCCTCTTGCGGCCGATGTGAACTGTACCGTGGGGAACGCAAGGCCGGGTCAAAGAAAGAGCCACGTTGATGAGTTGGACACAGAGACAAAGGTGATGGAAGCGCGGGGTAAACAAACCGGGATCTCTGCCAAAGATCGCCAGTTCTGACAAATTTATTTGCCAAAATAAACCTCAAACAACGGTCATTTTGAGCCATAGAAACTCTGTACCGATCGCAGTGGCCTCCTTTCGTCCGCTCGAACATTGGTATCGTGGGTTCGAATCCCAGTCGAAACATGGCTGTCTGTCTGCATTTCACTCACTCATGGAACTCAGCCATTCTTGAGAAGCTGCCAATTGTGCAGCCACTCAAGAACTTCCCACCATTTTATGGAACCCGAAAGTTCATTACCGTGTTCACAAGAGTCCTCCAGCGTTCCTATCCCGAGCCAGATCAGTCTAATCCATATCATTCCATTCTATCTTCTGTCTGAATTTATTATGTGTTTTTGCCCTTTGTAGGTAACGGCCTCGCGACGGGCTGATCCTCCGTCCAAGGGCCCTGCTGGATGTCTGTAAGATTCAAATTTCATATTAGGCCAGGAAGCCTAATCCGGGAATGCAGACGAACAACAAACGTTTTAGACATTGAACAATAACAGGGACTGAGACAAGCCTACGAGTGTCTAACTTGCTACTGTGGATACTGCATCATGTTTATGTATATCTTAACCTCCAGAAATGTTTGGTGTCGAGGCAAGATAAATAACAAATTAAGTCTGTCAGCACAGTCAAGCAAAATTCGTTTAGTCTAGCGCAAAAGGAAGAATTTTCAATAACGTACTGCATGTGCCACATGTACACATGAAACAGTAGAAGCATATTCACAAGAAACAAACCCATCCTCTCGTCAGAGAGGATGTTACATAAGGACCATGACAGAAAGAGTTCAGTTACAAAGAGAAAATGGTCGTGATCCTAAAAGGGCTCGACTCCAAGAGGAGCCAGTCGCAAAGTAACCCTGACTCTGACAACTGCGGGTCAACCTGACATTACGATCATAAAGTATTCGTAAGTTCAATTTGTGCTCTTTTTCCCATGCGTATATGGTTATATTTATTGATGTTATTTGTTAAAATATTCTTAAGCGCGGGGGTTCTATGTTCGGTAAATGAATTAGGAGTCGAAATTCATTGCTTCGTGCAATGATCGGAGAAAGGAAATGTTCGTTTGTTGAAAGATCATAAACAGAGTTTCACTTATCGTTCTTCCCAGAGCTTCAGAAATTTCAAGAAAATGACAGTACACAGAGACTGTATAGCTTCGAACTGTGAGATCGAGTGAACACGAGTTGGAAAACACACGGAAGGAAGTGTTGGCGACATAATCTGAGTTACTGCTGCAGCAAATTCTCGGAGGGACTGAGGAATACACGGAAATACCTCAATCAGGATAGAGGTAGCCTAGCCAACTTTTGAATCGAAGACTTCCCATTCACAGATCTAGAAATGTACCGCTACAGGAACCTGCTCGGCATTCAAGTTAACTCTCTGGGTACTGCACTAAAAGAGACTGGAAATTTCAGTCCAATTTATCTCTCGCAGCTCACTTCATAAAGGTTGGGGGGGGGGGTCACCACATTCAGTGGTAAAGTGATTAGCATCGTGCTTCACATTAAGGGGCCCCGGGTTGAAATCTCGACCCGAAGACCAGAAATACTGATCGAGTTTCTCGTTGTGTCATTCAGTACCTGCATGCAAATTTCGAGACAGCACCTCAAAGTAGGACATGCCCGCTTCCTGTCACGTCGTTTCCGGTGCATTCTCCAATTGTTACTCGCCGCCACACACCACCGATTTGCAGCTACCGTCGATTAACAAACTATAAACAAACAGAGAACGTTGCCTAGCGATGGGTCCCCTTTGTCTAGGCACCCGCACCACTCCTCATCGTGTTCATAACAGCCCAAGATTCTATTCCATCGTGAGCCAGATGAATCCAGATGCAGTGACTTGTCTTCCTCCGCGGAGTTCGGATCGGCTCAGAGGCCCACGGCCTCCTACCCAATGCATAGCGGTGCTGCTATTCTCTCAGGAGTAAAACAGACGGGTATTCAGTCTAGCCACTCACCTGCATCTAGTGCCGAGCTCAAGAATGTGCGCACATGCACCTGCATTCCTCTCTACGTCTTCATGGCTTGGTTCTTAGATGGAAACAGTGACAGAGAAGTGATACCAGTTACCGTGGCCGATGTACGGGGCATGTAGGCACTGCGCGCACAAGCTAGTCGGAAAATATGGCGGGAAAAGAGCTTATGGGGGCCTATGGGCCCCCTTGTGGATTGTCTTACTGTCAGTGTCAGTAGCCAGAGTGCATTACGTCGAATGGTATGATGACAAGAGAATGAGGGTTGAAAACAACTTGGAAGGAAGCGGCCGTGGCCTACTCGTAGTACCGTGCAGGAATTTGCCTGGAATAACAGAGTAAAACCACGAAGCACGTCAGCTAGGATAGCCAGTGTCCGCAGAGACTCGAAAAGGGTACCTACCGAGTCGAGATGTAAGTGGGAAGATACGTCTTGAAGTAAGAAATGTGTTAACGTACGGAGTGGGTTCATCTGGCTCAGGGCAGGAACCAGTAGCGACCTCTTGTGAACATGGTTATGAATTTTCAGGTTCTGTAAAAGGCACAGAAGTTTTCAGTCAGCTGAACTACTGTCTGTTCCTCAAGTAAGAATCTGTTCTAGGGAGTTGGTTACACGCTGACGGTCTTACTAAGATCTGCGTTTATGTTAACCTATCTTCAGACTGTTCCATGTGATGACTGTTTCTGTCAAGCCCGTTGCCGAACTTCACAGTCAAGTAAATATCACCGTTGCATAGTATTTGATAGGTCCTGGCTTCAAATCTTGAGCAGGAGATCCGGCGTCCTAAATAGGGGTTCCCCTCAGTCCCTCCACGGAAATTCTGCTTCTTTCCATAAATATTACTATTTATTATCCAGTAACAACCGTATCATTCTACGTTATACGGTCTGAGTTAGTGGCAGCATCATTAAATATACCACAAATAAAAGAGACCAATTATAAATTTAACATAATGTAGGATTTCAAGTGGGCCGAAGGGGGTATACGAAAGAAGCGGAGACACCATTTCGCTCTCCCTCGTTGCAAATTCTCCCTTGTCACATTTTCAATTCGTGCATTCATGCGCTTGCGCACTCAGCCAAATATTTTGCATATGTAATGAAAGGCCCATGATTCGTTTCTATATGGGAAGGAGGCGGTACCCAGTTCAGTTTCTGACCGTCAGATGGCTGTAACTCCTTGAGCTTTTATTTGAGAACATCTAAAACATCTAAAACGAGGCTTCGTGCACGTCACATGGGCATGTCATGCTCTGCATCCCACTTTCTCAGCCTCAGTAGCCTCAACCACCACATGCTGTCGAAGGCCAATAACAGGCGTTCGACAGGAGGTTAGGATGTGTGGCAGGGTCGGTGCTATCATAAATGTCGCCTCAACAGGCAAGATATTGAACTTCCTCAAAATGTCACACTCAATAATATGAAATTCCTAGACACTGTGATGAAAACCACCACCGGTGTTGCAACTCTTAAAAAAAAGAGAGTCGAAGAAACAGAATAAAAATACGGCGCCTTCCGATCTGTGTAATCCTAGCTTGAAATTAAGGAACTAGGCAATACACTGTCGCATGAAGTGTTTAGGCGACTGGCCATTAATGTTCACTACGTGAACGAAAGGCCAGGGAAAGGATGCGATTTGCAATGAACAAAACGCCCTCTCTCCATGCGGGTTGTAGAATTTGCCCCGGGAGGCAATTCTTTTAGTCTGTTTTGTTTCACTCATTTAAAATTATCTCCAACAAGCCAAAAATTCGCTGTTTTAAGCATCTGATCATTTTTTAGTGTATATATTTCCCCGTCTTCGCCCCTTCCTATATATATATATATTTTTTTTTTTGTGTTTCAGATCTCTTTAGCTCATATTTATTTTGACCTTTTATGCGTGTTGCGGCCATGACAGTCTTGTTTATAGAAAAGATAGTAAAACGACAATACACAACTGGAAAACGAACATTAATAAACACGTTGGCTCAAGAAAGAAGTTTCTACCTGAAATCCGTAACGAATTTTAAATTAATGTGATGGTGCGCACCTCGACGTACATTCATCCCTATACTGCGCATCAATTTCCCCATCTCGATTTGTTATACCCTGAAGAAGGAAGCAAGTTCCTGCGTAATCCGAGAATAAAATAAGAAAACGATATAGGCCCTAGTATATTTACTTCTCAGTGCAATTCTTGTACTAATTACATAACTAACTCTTCTTGAAAAGCCGCCAATTGCGCAGCTATTCAAGAATTTCCCAACATATTACGGAACACGACGGCTCATTACCGTGTTCACAAGAGCCCTCCATGGTCACTATCCTGAGCCAGATCAATCCAATCCATACAATCCTATCCTACGTATCTCTCTAAGATCCATCTTAATATTATCCTTCCACCTACGACTAAGTCTTCCTAGTGGTCTCTTTCCTTTGGCTTTCCCACCAAAATCCTACACGCACCTCTTCACCCCCATGCGTGATACATGTCCTGTCCATATCATCCTCCTTGACTTGATCATTCTATCTATCTGTCTACAGTCGGTGGGATTCCGTGGACAGGGGATCAGCCCAACGCAACGCCGCTACCTACACAGGGCAACACAAACAGAATAAACACATAAATCCATGTCTTCGCGTGATTTCAAGGCACAATACTTGTGAAGAAAGCAGTCTTCTGGGATTTGGCACCGTGTAAAATCCCCGAAGACTGCTTTCTTCATAGTCACCGCCGTGAAAGCCTCAAAATCTTACACAATACGTGTGTTCGAACGGGCGAAGACATTTCATGCGTCTCACTACATCTACCGGAGAAGTGTTTGAACTGCGAAACTACTGTCCTGTATAAGAAATGAGATTATTCGAGAATCGAGAATGCAAACTTTCGAATTGTGAGGTTACGTTGCAAGTCATCAGAGTTGAACTGCAATTACGTCAAATTTTGAAATAAATATGACATTATACCATTTTGGAAACTGTTTAGCGTTAGTTTATGTACCTTATTATTTAACATATAAGTATTCTGGGCTGTAAGTACTTCGGAGAATACATAACGACTCTAGTACAATATTACTAAAACTGGCATGATGTATTAATGATCATAACCCTACTTTTCATTTTTAGGTCAGAATATGGGACCTTCTGGAAGTGTGTTCAAGCCGGTGGAATTTATGCCTTCACACAACTGTGTAAAATGCTGATACTTGCTACTTTCTTTCCAGCAAATGATGGTAGTGGACAAGAAGGAATGGATTTTGTTGGGGTATGAAATATGAAGAACAAAATTAATTTAATTCCATGTATTAGTAATGGCCCTGCTGCAGAATCAGTGTGTTAAGTACAATGTCCCAGTGTGAAAATTAAATATGGAAAGCTTTAACAAATTACAACTGTTAAGATTTTATAAGTTCCACTGGTTCGTCATTGATACTGTACTTTCTACTTGATCTGAGCAGCTGTAAGTAAATTGACTGATGTGGCTTAGTTAATGTCTACTAACTTAAGAATCAGAACTAATGGGGGTTCAGATCAAACGCACTGTGTTAGTTAACCATACCAGTCTGTGAAACAGATCTGTATGAACATACACGTATCATACTATAAACCTAAATGCTATGGTAATTGGCGAACCTTTGAATATACTTTGATAATTCACTTAACTTTAGATTTGCATTTGTAAGCAAGGCTTTATTCCAGTCAGTATGCATATTCAAAGAAACAGAAGTTGTTCGTCTGTTGATGCTTTGTTTCTGATCTTTAGGGTACAACTGAGTATAAGAGTATTGGTAGATATGCTTTCAGTTAAAAAAAAAAAAAGTATTTTTATCCCAGAATAATCTCACCATTGTTTATGAGGAGTCAAGCTGTTCTACTTCTGTAAAGATTTTAAATTATTCAAATTGTCTCATCATTGAAGAAAGCAGTCTTCTGGGATTTGGCACCGTGTATATGTGGTGTTAACCGACGTTTCGGAGGAACGTATCGCCCCCATCTTCAGGGTTGAAGAAGAAGTTTAAGAAATCTGCAAGCGACAACACCGTGAGAAACGACCGTTCCTCCGAAACGTCGGTTAACACCACATATACACGGTGCCAAATCCCAGAAGACTGCTTTCTTCATAGTCACCGCCGTGAAAGCCTCAAATCTTACATGTCTCATCATTTTTCTCCACCCTCTTTGGACCGCCAGAGATGCCGGATGTGTGAGACAAAGCAGTTGTGTAACAAATGATATTGATCAGTCTGTCATATTTTTCTTCTCTTATCTTTATAGTAAAAGGGGCATGCAGTAGCTTAGTTGGTTGAGGCATTATGCTACAAGCCGGAAGGTTGCGGGTTTGAGTCCGAATGAGGTTGATTTTTCAAGGGACCTAATCCTTCCACCTGCCCTGGGGTCGACTCAGCCTCTAACAGAAATGAGTACCAGGGAACTTCT